GTGTTAGTGCTCCCGCCCAGAGTAGGGCACAGTCCTTCACGTGTTGTTCACCTCCCGCACCATACGCTCAGCTTGGATCCAAGTTAGGTGCATAGGCCTGTCGTACAGACCACAGTAGGTGGTTCCGACTCGTAGGTGACCCGCGATTATTCGCACAGCCTTCACGTGATCGTAGCACTAGAGCGTATACATGTTACACCCAGGCCTGTCGTACAGACCCCTTTAGGTGGTTCCGACTCGTGGGTAGGTTTATTTGTGAGATTGATATTTGAGCTCTATATACAGCCGTACAGGTCACGTTAGGTGACTCCGGCTGCCAGAGGATTGGGTGATTGATACGACTCACACCTGAGCACTTGCATATCATTAGGAGATTTTGACATAGCATATATTGAGCATGATTGGCATACCCTTGAGCATGTTTGGGCATATCTATACATACGTACATATGTTATTTTTCTGGGAAGTATACAGGTTTTACGGCGAGGGGTTAGATTGTGTTTTGCTAAATGGTTTTCAAAGAGCTTTGTTTTTGCCCACTCACGCTTTTGTTTTGCGCCCCTCCAGGTTCTAGTTGCTTAGCCATTGCGGTGGTTTCCCTTGCGAGCTTTTCGGCGTTCTGACAGACACTCCACATTGTAGGGTCGCCTTCGGGCGTACTACTGTTGTTGTTTTATTTGGACTGCTATAGACCTGCTCTGAATTTGTATCGCACTAACTAGCACTTATTCTAGTACTAGAATGCTAGTTTTTAATTATTCGTACTTTTATATTACTACTCTATTAGCTTCCGCACGTGCACATGGCTACGTCGCCTTTGTGTGACGGCCAGCACGCTCCTATCTCGGTCGGGGTGTGTCATGCAAGCCCTTTCTGATTAAGGTATATAATTTATGTTTTTCCTCAAAAACAATTTCTTGAACAAAAGTTTAAAATTTTTTGGGTCCTATTTCGTTTGCAGATCTATTTTATAATAATAATAATAATTAATTTTTGGGGTTTTTTTTCTGTGTTTGGATTTTTAGTGTGGGTATATGATTTGGTTTTTTATTTTATTTTGAGGGAGCAATGGTCATCGTTTTTTGCTGCTTTTATGTGTGGGTGCTTGAGGTTCCTCTCTCTCTCTCTCTCACTTTTTTTATTCAATTCATGATCGAATTTCATTTGTATGAATGTTGGATCTATTGTTTTGGCAAATTGTGCACTTTGTTTACTTCGATTAATTTTTTGTGGTTTGATTTGGTGAATTTTTGGAAAAATCCAAGTTCACTCCCGTACTGTTTGCAGCATGTCAGCGATGATTTAAAACATTTTACGGTGGACAATCAATTGGAAACAGCTTCAAATGGGAAGTTTTCGCAAGGGACGCATGTAAGTGGGGTTATGCCTGATGCTGATGGAGAATGCTTTTTGGAATTCCATTAAGGGAAATTTTGGGTTTTATTGAAGAAATTTTAAACCCGGAAAGCTTGGGTTTCCTGGTGAGTTCTTTGACATTTTTGGTTAGGGTTTAGTTCTTGGGTTCTCTTTTCGTTGTTCAAATTTTTGTGATTTTAATTTTAAAAATCTGGGTTAAAGAAATTTTTCTGAGTTAATTCATGATATTGTATAAAGTATGGCTTATTCTGTTCTCTGTTTATTGAGGTATGAATTTACTTGGAAATGTTTATATGCAGGTGGACTATGCCATTTGAGAAACTATGGTATTCATATGATTATTTTCATTTTATTTTGGATTTGTTCAAGTTCCAGTTTGCACGATTGTAAGATGTTTATCTAATTCCAAGTATGGTTTTGTACCAATATACAGTACTCAAACGCTCTCAACGAATACCCGCTTTCTCCCTCTCTCTCTCTCTCATGATAATTGATGCGGAGTACCAGACCCAGAGAAGGTAAGAATCTAGACTTCCCAAACTTGGCCTCCCTTATCGGCCGTGGAGTATCAACCGGTACACTTGAGCTTCCCAAACTATGTTGAAATATTTGAGAAATGCAGAGTAAACAAAAAAGAAAAGGAATTTTAGAGAGAGTGATATAATAGTTGCTCTGTAATTGTATGAATGAATTAACTATTCAACAGAGAGATAGTTAACAATTTATACAACAACTAATCACCTTGCTTAGCAGCTCAGTATCATGGCACATACTTAACAGACTAACAAACATTAACAATCTCTAAACTGATCTGCTGAGCTGGACCATTAACCTCTGTTTAGCTCTCATGGCAAATACTTTGAATATTCATTAGCAAAATATATAGGGTTAACTATTTAATGAATACAATTTTGATGGTTGATTGCATTTCGTCAGTTATAAATATGGTGAATCCATTATTCAATACTAGCTGAATGGTAACCTAAGTTGGCAGAATGGGGACGTAATGTGCACCAAAAATTATAGTTGAACTATTTTACGGTTTTGCTTTGAGAAATTCTCTGCTTGTTCTGCGAATCAATTCTCGGTTTCTTTTGCAAATGTGTCATTTTGACAAATTAAGCAAATAGTTTGAAATTCAAAATTTTAACGGTTTGTGCTGATGGAAGGTAGCGTTCCGTCGGTTGCATGGATTGAAAACAAAAAATATGCTCAGGAAAACTAACGAAAAGTTCTAAACAACTTTAGTTTTTAATAAAGATGATAAAATAAATTTGTAAGTGAATAGTACCAGGAGTAACTTTTCAAGGTAAAAATGTCTTTAACGTTAAAAGTTAACAGTATCGGAAGTGTTTCATTAAGATTCCCAACATGTTTTGCGCGTTGAACTTATTTTCAGTTTGTGGGCCCTTTATTCAAGCTTGTTTTCAAAAACTCCTACAGAAGCCCAACTGGTGCAAGAAATTGAATAGAAACTTCTTTATTTGCTGCTCATTTCGGAAGGCCAGTGCGAAAAACCTCCTATTTTAGATTGCAAATTTTGTGATGACAAAAGATAAAAGTGGCACATAATAAGTTTTTCTGCACTCTTTCTCTATTTCCAGAAATAGAACTTGATACAGTCACGGCCACGAAAACTTCACTGGAACCCTACCTGGTGCAAGTGACGAACTAAGAACTCCAATTGGGTGCTCATTTCTGAATGTCAGTTGGATAACATCCTATTTTCTATTGAATCTCTATGACCACTGCATTACAACATATCAGTGTGTTTTCTTCTGTGCATAGATAAAAAATCTTCGGCGCTCTTAGTCAAAAACTAGGTTCTATATATGGTCATTTCTTAAATCTATACTTTACTGGACCTGTTTATGCTCGGGTGATTAACCAATGAACATAAAGACATCCCCGATTTAAAACATTTCTCAAGAGAAACACATGTTCAAAACAACTTAAAACTCCAAGCATTAACCGAACAAAATGATGAGAAACCGGTAACAAAGAACAATTGCCCGAAATAGAAAACACTTTATATTCCTCCCCAGTTCTGAAAAGCCAGAGAATGTGGATAGCTAATCATCGAACAATTTAACTTCAGATATAATCTCACACTACAAAAAGCTATTGTGCTTCATTTTCAATACCCTAGGGTTACTCTTGTATGTATGCGTGTATGCAAAGGAGTAATTCTTAATCCAGCATGAATGTCACCTTTGGGCAGAATAGCGCCTGTTCCCTCATAAGGGCAGGGCTAAAGAGCGAGATATGAGTTTAGTGCATTGTGGGAGTGTGGGTTTGTTACTTTAACCATTTTTTCTATTCTATTCCAGTCTCATGTTAACAGCATGTGGTACACGTCATCAATCGGAACAAACTCAAATCAAAAACATAAATCTCTATCAATGTATAATCATTATTGTGATTCAACACTGCATTCTTCAACCAAATTATGAACAAAACAGCCAGGCCAATGAACACAAAATAATTGGACAAAAAATAAAATGAACAGAAAAATAAACTTAAAATTACAACGTAAACCACTCAAAGCAGAGTAAGTATTCAGACATCAACTTTAAGCCGAAAACTATGAAAGTTCCGAATCCTCAAATGCATTTCCAATTACAGTACAAACGCTTAAGCATAAACACCGAAGGAAAATGTACTTTCCCCAAATAACTCAATTTACAGTGGGAGGAGGGACCCATAATGCTTTTTGACATTCAAGTCTCTTTGAAAACAAAACTATTCAATTTGAGATTTTTTTTTTTTTTTAAATGGGTGCAAAGATAATTTTACATTTTGAATTGGGTTGGAGATGATAGTTTAGGTAATAAATTTAGGTTTAAAAAGATATTAGTTCTTAATTAAAAAATATTTAGAGATTTAAATAATAAATTGAGTGTAAAAAAAGATTAAATGAAACCAAATAAAATTTTCCATCCATTAATTCTTAGCAGCTCTCTGTGTAGATTATAGTATCATCATAAAAGGACATTATGATGTCTCATTATCCCTTTTACTTTTAGTGTATAATGTTGCTTCATTGCTAGTCTTCTAACGTTTACATAGTTTTGGCAATCTTCAAACTTCCATCAAAGCAATTTCAGTCTTTCATCTTACACCTTATAAGACGATGACACTCGACAAAATAGTAAAAACGTGCAGCGGTCTGCCTAAAATAAAAAAGAAAGGTGCAGCGGTCTGCTCCAAAAAAAAAAAAAATGTCCAGCGGTCAGCCCAAAAATAAGGAAGGTGCAGCGGCCTGCCGAAAAGGTTAAGAAACGTGAAGGACCCAGCTGGCATTAAAAATGAAATTTGAATTACTAAGATCAGCAGTAACATATTGACCAGTCTTTGTTTTTATTTTTTATATGGAATCATGTGGGAGTGTTTGGAAGTGCTGGGTGTAAACGTGCTTAGCCGGGTGTACAAATGCTCAAATGGCCAGTAGATTAATATAGTAGAGTGTGGGCCCGAAGAGTGGGAAAGATAACATGTGGGGAGATCCGGATTTGAGGGGTGGCCACGTGGTGGCGTGGGAACTCAAAAGTAGAGGGAAAGAAAAGGACAGGGAACCAAACCAACGGCTATAAATTGCAAATGGGTTTAATATATTGACCAGTCTTATTTTATACATGGACTGATGTGAGTGGCTGGATTAGAGAAGGGCATATAGAGATCAAAGACTAGCGGGACGAGTCATCTTTCACCAGGCAAAACCATATTCTCACTTACAAGTTTTTACTTCACTTCACTTCACTTCACTTTGCTTGGGTTTTTTCTTGTTCTGAATACAAGAAATGGCGGAAAGAGTTCTCATCAACATTGCAGAACGGATCATTGGGAGGTTAGGCTCCCTTGCTCTCCAAGAGATTGGATTGATTTGGGGTATTCAAGATGAGCTCAAGAAGCTCAAGGAGACAGTTGAAGGATTCCAAGCTGTTCTTGTTGATGCTGAGGAAAAGCAAGCCAACAATGAAGTCAAACTGTGGCTCCAAAGCGTAGAAGATGCTGTTTATAAAGCTGATGACGTTCTAGATGAGCTTAATACTCAAGTTCAGCGACGACAAGTGATGCGTGGCAATACTAAGCTGTCAAAGGAGGTACGCCTCTTCTTCTCTTGCTCAAATCAACTTGTTTTTAAGTGAAAGATGGGTCATTAGATAAAAAGATATTAATGAAAGATTTCGTAAGGTTGCATCTCATAGAACCTTCTTATAATATGACACACCCCGACCGAGATCAGGGCGTGCTGGCCGTCACTCGGAGGTGACGTAACCATGTGCATGTGCGGAAGCTAAGTAAAGTAATATAAAAGTATGAATAAATTAAAATCTAGCATACAAAGTACTAAGACAAGTACTAGCGTACGTGAGACACTAAGTTCAGAGCAAGACTACAACAGTCCAAAGAGAACACTACGACAATAATACACCCGAAGGTGACCCTACATTGGTGAGTATCTGTCAGAAATGCCGGGACGCCCTCTGGGAAGACCACCGCAACCGCTAAGCAACTAGAACCTGGAAGGGCGCAAAACAAAAGCGTGAGTGGGCAAAAACAAAGCTCTTTGAAAACCATTTCATAAAAGACATTATAACCCCTCGCCGTAAAACCTGTATACTTCCCAGAAAGTAAATGTAAGTACGTATACATATATAAGCTATAACATGTTCCAAGGTATGCCAATCGTACATAGTAATGCCATATCGAATTCTCATAATATAATGCAACGTTCAGGCACAACTCATATCAATAACATGTAATCTAGCAGCCGGGAGTCACCTAACGTGACCTGTACGGCTAAATCTAGAGCTCAAATCACAATCTCAATCACTAAACAACTGAACCTGACCACGATGTCGGAACCACCTAATGTGGTCTGTACGACAAGGACTGGGTGTGGCGTATATATATACGCTAAAGTGCTACGATCACGTGAAGGCTGGGCGAATAATCGCGGGTCACCTACGAGTCGGAACCACCTAATGTGGTCTGTACGACAGGGCTGGGCACCTAGCTTTGGATCCAAGCTGAGCATAAGGTGCGGTGAGGTGAACATCACGTGAAGGACTGGGCCCTGCTCAGGGCGGGAGCACTCACACGGAGGGTGCAGGTTATGAGCTCACTAATCATCTCAAATTATAATTGAATGTAAATACGAATAACCTTTACCTGGTACTTACCTGTGCGTCCACAGCACCCGATACACATATATATAAATGCATGCCACTACTAATGCATGTAATGATGCATGAACGACAAACATATAATGCATGGCATAAAGCAATTAACCTTTCCTAACCAATTTCTGGGAATATAAACGTATATAGGTATATACGGAAAACCAAAAGCCCACTCACTGATATGGGGAAAGGTCGTAGCCCCCCTGCCTCGAGTGAATACGCTCGTCCTCGGAGTACGTATCACCTATACGCGAAAAAGCTACGAAAACGTCAATTTCAAAGCACATAACCAACTCTTCGTAATAATTTCTCATACATTGCTCAAAATGGACAAATGAATATACCAACGTGATCTACACAACCTCACGATCACACACATATTTTTAAAATAATTTTTGGACCACGCACGCGCCCCCACGCGCCTGATCACGCACGGACCCACGCGCCCCCACGCGCGGTCACGTGCACTGCACACCGACGGAATATTCCGTTGACTGACGCCGTTAGTCCTGTAGGAATATTCCGTTAAAAGTTAACGGAATATTCCCCTGTCCTCTCCGGCGAGTCGCCGCCGTCTGCGCCGTCGCCGGAAAACTGGAAAATTTTCAAACTTCGTTTTCTCACTCGTTTTTCA